TTTGGAAACAATGCAAGGTTTTACGTAAAACGGCATTCGTCCATCGCCGCAACTTCAGCTGAAACCACAGATTCTCACGAAAAAAATGGAGTAAAAAACTAAAACAAAAGGCTTATGATACATTGTAAACGTCTGATTAAAAAAGGGCGCACACGAGGGAATTATTACTGCGGTCGTGGATTATCACACTTCTCGTCGCTCCTCTGACGAAAGGGCGTATCTCGATTTCCAGATGAGCCCTGTTCTCCGTATAGCTCTATGCTTCCTAGAGCTCACGTGGAAATAGTGGTACGCCCTTGCGTTAGAGGAGCGACGTTTTTCCTGTAAATATGGATCAAGTATCGCCAAATCCGTGCCGTTTCTGATATTTTGTGGGAAATATACAATGGCATTTACTTTTGATTCAATGGGCTAGTTTCAAAATCCAACTAGACAATCCTTATTTTTACGGAGATTGGCTAAAAACTCACCATGAGCGAAACTGCAAAGTTTTAAATGTATTAATTACTTCACCGTTGGTGGCGTGAGTAATTGACCCATTGTTTAGCTTCCTGCCTCTAAGAGAGTACTACAGGTGATGTAGGACTATAATTTACAGCAAAATAGTCATGATTCCGCACGAAACTCCAAGTGGCTCCTGTAGAATTATGGCAAAAAATTAACTTTTGGCGTGTGTATATAAATAGGAGACATCACAACTTTATCCCGTAGTGTAATAAAAAAAAAAACCCTGGGTCATATTTCGAAAATTTAATTAGAATAAGCTCATCTAGGGACTACTTGTTGTCAATAGCCGCCAAAATCATGGAATCCGGCCCAGTGGCACAGTAGAACAAACTGTGACAAAAAATGATGAACTGAGCGGGGCCGGAGAGCTTATGCTTATAGTAATGATGTCCTCCCTGCAGTATTTTTTTTTATAGCAGAAAGCTCAAACAAGCGCAAATTTTTTACGAAAATTGAATTTTTCTCATTATAAAAAATCATTATCGTGCTTGAGATGATGGTGAATATTTTTATTTAAGAGAAGTGTTTAAGATTTAGTGGGCTCCAGATTTTGTAGGCATAAGAATTTAATGGCTATGCGGTGCCAAGGTGAGTCTGAGCATGAAAACTTGATACATTTTAGTTGCAATTTTAGTTGTAATGCATTAGGAGTAATTTTACTTAAAATCATTAATACCTAATTTTTTTCAAAAACTGCGCGTTGTCCTCCGAGCCCCTCAAATGTAGTCATGATAATTTCGAAGGCTTTTTCCTAAACCGTGTTCTTGCTCTAACTGAAATTAGCTGTGCATTTTCTGAGTGCTCCTGCTAAATTTTGTCCGATCAGTTCATGAAAATCACTGTGCGCTACGTTCAAATAAAGGAAAGTAAAGCTGAAAGAGCGAGCGAGAAGACAACTTCGTCGCCGTGATAACGAAGAGAGGTGTAAGTGGATTTCTATATGAGCCGTGGTTAGCACATGCTTTCATGTGTCTCGGGGTTCATCCCAGCATCCACTTACTGCTGTTTTTACAATCACGGCAGTTCGAGTGCGTGAGCGTGACGCAGAGAGATAAATGGCGGCGGGCGCGCCTCGCCTTGAGCCTGGGTTAATGTAAAAATTTCGGCAGCGCTGAAATTCAGACTCGGAGCGGGAATGCAGGTTGAGGACAGTCGGTCTCCCTGTCATCCGCCCGTCCGTGTCCATTCCAAATTTATGTTTCAGAGCGAGCATGCTAAGTTTTTACTCTCCAATGAGTCCCCGACGTCGGGTTTTTTTCGGCTTCACGGTCGGGCGGACTCGATCAGCGATAAATCAGCGCCGCTGCATCATTCCGCGGTGGAGAGCATCGTCAAAACAGCGGATCTACCGTGGGTTTCGGTTGGAGTTGGGTTGTTTTTCACGGGCGAGGTGGAGGCTTTCAGCGAGGGATTGTCTTCTGGTAAGTTGCTGATTTGAAGTCGACTGCTGGATCATCTGGTTGAAAAATCGGTCTCAAATCGCAAATTACGAACCGCAAATTACATCCCCCCTCCCC